CTGTGGAGCCATTTAATGGCAGAAGCTCAACACACAGGCTATATCCATTCCTTAAAGACTACGGACCCCTGGTTCTACACCAGAGCTTCCATCTGAAGCTTTGGAAATATGTCTCTGAAACCAAGAAAAGAATAACATAGGTGTTTTTCTTCATGTTCCTAATCAATATTTACTAGAAAAGGAGCTTTACCTATACTTGTTATTACTCTCAGGAATTAAAGAACCACTGATTCTCTGTCTTGCCTCTCTAGGTCTCTGAGATGAGAGATTTGCTCCTTGTTATATGAAATCCTTCTTTTGCCCCCAAAAGCTTTCGTATTTCATCCTGTGGATAAACTGAAAGAGTTTCCATGCTGCTTACATGAAGGCAACCTTTTGTTGAAGAAATATGCTTTAGAGTTTCAGGAGCTAGGACTTTGTTTACAGACTGAGTTAAGCGTAGTTTAAATTCATGGATTTTTGCACTCTGTCATGTAAGAAAATTTTTCTCAATAAAACTCCAAGACACTCACATCTACAAACCATCGGTCAGTCAGAAGGCATTTGTTCCTACCAGTAGATACATAGCTCAATGCTATGGCCCCATGACCCAAATGAGATCTCAAGAAGCTTAATCCAGCCACACTAGAACCATGACTCAGGAGTGCAGAGAGGGCAGCCAGACTAGTGGCTTGCCCCAAGTTGGAGGCTTGGAAGCAGAGAAAGTATAAACACAGCTCACCTGATATTATGTTCCTTCTCTACATTCTTCAGTGGGTCCCATAGTGCCTGCTATGTGGCATGCAAGTTCCTCATTGGGACTTCCAGGACCCTTATAATAAGGCTGAAACCTATTTTTCCTTCTACTCTACTATTCCCTATAAGTAGACTATGTTGTAGATTCACCCGACTAAACTGTTTCCTGTAGAGTTCAGGCACATAACCACATCCCCATCATTATACAAGATGCCTGCCCCTGAGATGTTCCAGTCATCTCATCCTAAGTGCTACTCCTTCTCTGGGACATTTCCTAATGTTTTCACCAACCTCCAACCTAGAAAAACTACAATTGGAGGTGGCCTCAACTACCATGAAACTTTTGCACATTTGTAAACCACCCAAGAAATTATTTCCTAGATGGTATGGTAGTAATTTGGAAATTTTTTTTCTTGCTTTCAACCAATATTAGCTGAACATTTACTATGAATCAGATGCTGTGCTGGGTGCCTGGGACATAGAAATGAATTGAGTCAAAGTTCTTGTTCTCAGCGGGCTTGTGGTCTAGTAGACGAGACGATACTATGATAGAAGATGATAACCTAGGGCAACGGGAGTTCAGGTGAGGGCAGAATTTAATGACCAGGGAAATAAGAAAGACAGTATGGCAAGAAAAATTTGTTTTCTGGGGATGGGGTGGGAAATGAAGTGTAAGGGAGGGGTCTTCTAGGTAAAAAGAACATAATGTACAATTCTTCCCTACTACTTCCTGAATTTACTGAGTACCTACAAGATTTCCATCTCTCACATCATTCTCATTAAGATAGATATCATAGTCCTCATTTTACAGATGAAGAAACTGAAGCTCCTAAGACCCAAGAACCCAAGCTATCAAGTATCAGAGCCCAGCCTGAGCTCCTGGTAACAGGAAATTCACCTTCAAGGAGCCAGCTCTTAGCTCCCATCCTCTAAACCTGGGTGACTATACAGGGAACCACTCAAAACCAGATATCTTCTGGAAAGGTTAACTGGGGCATAAAAAGAAAAGGTTCAAGAATGTGGAAACAGCCATGTCCTGTACCTCCCTATAAACCTAGTAAAAGTCCTCTCAGGGTATGTGGTTTTAATGGCCCCAAAGGAGGGCCCTTCTTCTTAACTCAGAAAAGACAACCTGAAGAGAGTTACCTAGAAGTCACTTCAAGTCAAGCCAAGCCCGTGAAAACTCTCAAAAGGCTCAGAAAATTGAATTTCTAGGGCAAAGCATTTTGGTTTTGATGGAGTTCTCCCCCAGCCTTTTCCTTTTTCTCATTATTTTCTCAATTTCTCCCTTTCTAGTTCAAGCTCTTTCTGTAATACTTGTATTGGGCACATGCTTTTCTCCCTCCTAGCTGAGACTATTGTGGTACTCCTTTTCCATTGAAAGCAATCAAAAATGAAAATCCACATTTCAGAACAGGGTCTATTAAATATGTACCTTTTGTGGATAAAAAAAGAAAGAACTCTCTGAGGGCTGATTTTCAGTTCTGTGTATCACCAAAAGATTAGATATTGGGTGAGACTTCTGCTCCCTCGCAGGCCATTTGCATTTGGTAATTGAGAATGATGGCAAGGAGTCGGGAATCAGAAGCAACTTACTTATGGAATGTCTTAGTCTAAAGCATTGCTAATCAAAGAATGGTTTGGGGACCCGTAGGAAGTGCTTCATCTGGAAGCTTATTAGAAATGTAGAATCTCAGGCCCCACCCCAGCTGACCAATGGAATCAGAATCTGCCTTTTAACAAGATCCCAGGTGACTTGTGTGCACATTAAAGTTTGGGGAGCATAGGTCTAGAGCTAAAGTAACACTGCTTTTACTGTCATCCTGGACACCTCCGGTGGGTTTCTTTCCTAAGAAAGAAAATCTCTGTTTAGTGAACTCCATAGAATGTCCCCCACCACCCTTCTCTGTCCAAACTATTTATTCATAGAGGAATTCTAAAATGATAAACATTCTTCAACAAATTATACTCTCTGCCCAAAGAAGTTCAAGGTGAAACAAGGCTACTGGCCAGCCTTTCCCTAAAGGGAAAGATCTGAACTTGGGACGTAAAAGACAGCTCTTATTCCCACTCCCTTTTCCAAGGGTCTGAATCTCTTTGCTTAATCTACTCCTCTCTGGGGGGTGGGGGGTGGGGGAAGAACCTCCCTATGGACTACACAGGTAAGTGGAGAGTCTGAAGGGCATGCTCTGCCCTGGGTCCTAAGGAAGTGTAATAAATACAAATGGGAGGGACCAAGATCATAATCTTTAAATCCAGGCTGTGCTCAGACCTCACACATCCAATAACAAGACATACACAGATAAATTCTGATTAATTAATCTGCCATCTATCTACATGAGAGACATCAACCAGGAAGAGGGTAAATCATGTGGACCTAGTTGGAAGGAATGAAAGTTAGAACTCAAAGGCAAGAGAAGAGGAGAGGGGAAATGGCCCAGTCCTGCCCATTGGTGTCCTGTCCCTTGATTTCTACTTGCCAGTGAAGCAGAGGTAGTTAGTGATCAGGTCAGGGCAGAAGCTCTGACCAGAGCCCTGGCAGACTACACAGAAACTGGTCTGACCTCACACTGGACCTTGTCCTCTATGAAAAGGATGCCTGTCTCAGAGACATTTCTATTTTTAAAAAATTACTTCTTGATAAAACTAAACAAAACAAAACAAAAACCAGGTCCATATCCAAAGCAAATACTTTCTCCCTAATTCTGACAGATGTGCACATCACAACAAACACTTTAAGGTTCCAGGTATCTTTCACACATCTAAATGGAATGCCTGAATTAGGGACCAATTTGCTATTCTCCTCCCCCACTTTGGCTAATTTTTCATTCATTTTTTCCATCTTCATCTTTGGATTCTCTTAAACAGCAATATTTTCAAACACATGAATGGTTTATTTATACCAAGCAATACTTGTTTTTCAATCGGCAATAATTTAATCACATATTAATAGTATTTCAGCTCTGGAAACACAGTTCTGTCCTTTTAACATCCACATCAGCATGCCCTCAGCAAAAATTTGGAATGGACAGCAATGATGGACAGCAGTAAGTAGGGGTGGCAGGGACATGCTTAGGCTCTGAAATTCAGACAGGAACTCCATTTGTCTTCCTCTACCACAACCAAAAGATAGCCCTATCCCTCAAACCCAAGTATGTTATAGATTATCTGCCTACAGAGACTGAGGCTATCAATTTTATTTCAGCAAACTTCCACTTTATAGAAGAGCACTTGACTTGCTTCCCCCTGTAAATCAGACCTAGATGAACTAAGCAATCTTCCAGAAGAAAAAGCTCTGCATCCCCTTCCCACCCCCAACATGCAGACATGCTTGAACACACTACTTTCTGAAGAGAGAGAAAGTTAACTTTCAAATAAACCTGTCCTTCAGCCAGTCTGGCCATGTTTTCAGACCTTTTACATTTCCAAAGATGGATCTTGTAACTCTTGACTAAATCCAGAGGATGAAACCTGACCTCAGTCTGTTGAGGGCATGCATAAGGGTCAAAGGTCCACAAATACACCACTTCCCCTCCTCCCCAACACATACTTCTTTCTCTCAAAGTAAGAATAATGGATCAGACTTTATTATTCTTTCTTCAGAGAAGCCAGGCCGGGCTGCTGCTGGGAAGCTCCAGACAGAATGTGGGTGTGTGAACCTGTGCGGGTTCCACAGAGGAATTTTCTGGGAACTCCAGGCGTTTTGAATAAAGGGTAGGTCTGAGGCTGGGGCACAGAAATCCTTGGGTTTCTCAGGCATCTCTGAAGTCTGGATGTACAGGGTGAGGGCGTGTGCAGCGGGGCTGTCCTGCCAATCTGGCTCCCCTCCCTGCCCGGCCATGGCCATCCCAGGCCCTCTGGTCACAGCGGGGTCACTCACCACCCGTGAGCTGTGCAGGGCCAAAGCACAGCGCCAGCTGAAACCACAGGATCACTGCCAAGAGTCTCTGGGGGGACTGAGGCTGCTGCTGCTGCTGCTGCTGCTCTAGAAATCCATCTCCATTGCTCGGGTTCATTCCATGATACATCTTTCATCCACAGAGGGCATCCAGCTTGCAAGAGTCTGCAACCACGAGTGGAACACGACAATACCCCGGGCTGCTGGAGCTCTGGGCTACGCTCCCACTCCTCGGCCCTGGGACCCGGCGCCTCAGCTGCGCGGGCTCCATCCCAGTTCACCCCCGCAAGGCCCCCGCCCCCTTTCCCACCGCGAGATCTCCCCGCCGCCCCCAGCGCAGGGTACACTGAGTAACAGCCGCCGTGGGATGCTGCGCGTGCGGGAGTGGTGGAGGAGGGGAGGGAGAGCAGGGGTTAGCGCACATTGGCTCTGCGCCGGTCCCCGGGATTCAGCGGCTGTGACCATGACAGGAAAGTCTAAAGCCTTCTAGCGTCTAGGGGCTGAGAAAACACTTTTCCCCGGGCCTAACCATTTCACTCTTAGGAATCTCACAATGTGGCACCGGCTCCCCCCAGCTACTTCTCTGGTTTTCCCTGGGATCGGGAGGGTCCTATTGCCCTAGTCCCCAATGAGATTGCGCTGTCAAAAAATTCCTCCCTTGGGGAGCAGAACAGGACACAAACTCCCCCTGCCCGGCCTGCGTGCGACTCCCCGAACTGGAAAGCCCTTTCCGGGCTCCTGGTCTTACCTGTGGGTCTCATGCATGCAGCTTCCTTCCCTCCTCCGCCTCCTCCCCCCGCCAGTCTAACCCGCATCTGTGCGCGACCTCTGCTGCCGCCGCTGCGCGAGCGAGCAAGACGGAAGCCTCGGCGGCGGCGGCGGCAGCACCCGGCTTCAGCGCCCCCCGCCTGCAGCCCGCGCGCTCCCTCCCCAGGATCCCCCGAGCCGGCGGGAGTGGGGGTGGCTTGGGGGGGTACTGCAGCCGGCCGCGCGCCCCCGGGGAGGCTCCCGCGCGCCCGCTACCTGAGCTCGCGAGCGCGCGGCGGAGGCGCGGAAAGGGGGAGGGGCGGAGACGGCGCGAGGGACGCGCGGCCGGGTGCTCGCGCTGGCGGCCGCGCGCCTCCACGAATGGAGCCGGCGCCGCGGCGGGGGAGGGGGTCCGACGGAGGGCGGGGAGGGGGAAGGGGCCCGCCGCCGCCGCCGCGACCAATGGGAAGCTGGCGCGCCTGCACCTGTCGGGGCGCGAGTCGCCAGGCAGTAGTTCTCGCTCGCTCGCTTTTTCTCACACACACAGAGGCCTGTCGCGTCTCTCTAGGAGCTGGACCGCGGCCAGCTGCCCAGATGATGCGCGATCCACTGTGCCCGCCGCGGCCTCCGCACGGCCTCTGGTGGCCCCAGCGCGCTGCGCGGCGCGTGAGAGCGCCAGCTCCTTAGACTGCGGCCGTGGAGGTGACTCTATGCCGAGGAGTCCCGACACTGCCCTCCAGTCCCCACCCCAAGAGTCTCACTCCGACGGGGTTATAACTTAAAAGGGGCGGAGCAGAAGGCGTCAATTGCAAAAGCCTTTTCGTCCCCAGCCTTACACCCCACCCCACCCCCATCCATCTCCACGGAGGCTCTGCGTGTCTCCTCAGAGACGGTAGGACAACCTGAGGCTGCCGAGACACTCTGTTCCTCCCCCGCACCTTGGTGTTTTCTCTTTTGCCAGCTGCAGGCGTTGTGAGCCAGGACTCATGGCCTGTCTTGGGATATACTGGCTTCTCCGGATCTTGGCTTAGGAGGCGCTCTCCCAGGGAAGCGGGACGTGATGGGTGCCAAAGCAGAAGGTTGGGTACCTGGGGCTGTGAATCGGAACCCAAGAGTTCTCGGGGGTGTTTGTCCTCCTAGCCTCCAAAGGAGAGAGCTCTCCTGGCTGGCGATCACGATCCCTGCGCAGTTTGCTCAGCTAGCAGCGGGTGCTCACTCACCACTAGCCCTGACCGCCTGCAGTTCCTTCCAGGATAGGCCTCCCTCTGCAGGCTGGGCTCCTAGGGCCCTCGTTGAGGCCACGGTGATTAAGGGGTGCGTGTGAGCTAATGAGGTGGTGCTGGCCGGCAGCACTTTAGAACCAGTGGCACTCGAATTATTCTCTAGCAATTTGTGGATATGAAAACCATGTTTCTGGTACAGCTACCAAATCATCCCGTGCTTCTATCGACTTTCTCAAAAATCTCACATACTGATGATAGTTGGGAAATTACAGCTTTTACCGTGTCGACTCTTACTGAGAGTAATTTTAACAAATTCTTGCAGGATACATTAGCCTTTAGTAGATAAATCAAGCTCAGTATTTTCTTTTTCCGATTTGTAAAATTGAGATGACAGCTTTGCACAGAATAAGTTTAAAATTTTGGCTCTAGCACAAGTGCATTCCTGATAAAGCTTGTACTTCAGGGCTCCAAAATTTTAGTCGGGCGTTTTTCCATGTTGCCAAGATTCTGAGATGGTCCTCTGCAGATTGAATAATTATTCAATTTTTTTCTCAATGAATTTTCTGCCTCATTTTAATAGATATCAAATCCACAAAGCTCAAAAATATTTGTTGACCAGGTATGTGTTTTAAAATCAAAAGAGATATATCGTAAGTACTATTAAAATGTCAAGATGGAAAGGAACATCCAAGTTCATCTGGTCCAAAATGGTATCTATGCTTGGTCTCCTCTCTGACGTTTCTAAAAAGTGACTTACTTCCTACTAAGCTCTTCTAGGAGTTGACTCAAAAACACTACCAGTAGGTTCAGGAATTTAAGTGAAGCCTTGGAATCCTTCTCCCAAATATAAGAGAGCCCCTTGGGCTTATCTGGGGAAATTAGACATCCTACCCCTTCCCTCTACCCCCTCGACATGAGGTTTCCCATTGCTTTCACTCCCCTCCCCTATCATCTCCCTGCCCACCCCTTTACACTAAGATAGATTTTTGAAATTTAATAAAGCATCTTCATGGCTTAGGCTGTGATTTCACTTTGAGTGGCCAAAAATATTTTATTTCACATGCATTAATTGAGCACCTATAAAGACCTGGTTGTTATTCTAGGAGCTGGGGATGCAACAGTGAACAAACTCAAATATTTGTGCCCTACAAGAGCTTATATTCTAACTAGGGAAGACATATAGTGAATAAAATAAACAAAACATTTCATATGTTAGATGGTATTAAGTGCTGGACAAAATAATAAATTAGGAAAGTATAGAGGAAATGCGTAGGTTAGAGTATAGGAAAGTTGTGTAAGAAAGTTTATCAAATATACAGCAACTGTTTATTTCTTTCTCCTGCAAATGTCTTGTCCTAGCTGGCAGGACCTCTCTGCTCCACAAAGTCATTCAGGGACCAAGTTTTCTCTGTGTCATTACTCTGCCCTTCCCTAAGGTATTGCCTACATTTGTGTAGTTGAAGCTGGGTCACTGGAATCTCTGGAGTTCAGCCTGAGGGAAAATTGTTAAAAAGGAAAAAAAAGGCAATTTTTCTCTTTCAGGCTAATAAGGCAGAAGTTAATAAACTAGTTCTCTCACATTTCATTAGTGAGAACCAAGCCACATGGTCATGCCTAGTTGCAAGGAAGTTGGGCATCCAGGTGACCAGAAGGAAGAAGAGAATTTGGGGGGTTGGGAGCTAGCAATGTGTCTCATCTTGTGCGGAAGACTAGAGACTGCAATTTTTAATAAAGTTTACTGGAAAGCCTTGCTTAGAATATAATATTAAACAAAAACCCGGGGCAAGGAGCAAGTCCTGCAGTTTTCTGAGGGAAAAGCAAATGTAAGTGCCTGAAGCAGGATCATCCCTGTCAAAGTCGGAAAACAGGAAGGAAGTCAGAGAGGCTGGAGTGGAGTGAGTGATGGGAAGGACCAAGGGGGCTGAGGTCAGAGAGGTCACCTGAGTCCATCAGCCTAAAACACCTTGTCAATGGTCTGATTTTTACAGAGGGAGAAGAGATGCCATTGGAGGTTTGTGAGCAAAGAGAGACATTAAACTTAAACAGGAAGTAACCAAAAGGATTATGTCCTTTATATCCTATCAACTATACTCATCACTGTACACCCTGAGGCCCTTTCTTCCTTTCTTCTCAACACCCCTCAACTCCTGTGCCCCTGAGACCTCAGAGTGTTACCTTTGATGGCCCACTGCTTCACAATTCTCCCCAAATATCAAAGTGTAACATCACCCCCCAGCCCCGCACCTTCTCATTTACATAGCACAGACTGTTAGGATGAGCAGCCTGCCTGACCATGCCTCTGAAAAGATAAAGACCGAGCTCAAGGGCCAAGAATAGCATTTATCTAGTTGGTCCACTATCACTGAGCTCAGAGCCTGGAACACAGTAGAGCAAACAAGATTTCCTTTTTTTTTTTTCTGAAATAGTTCACATGTGAAAGAAAGGAGATAGTACCCCCTTCTCTCTCCCTGTCTTAATCCATTTTCTGCTGCTATAATGGAACAGCATAGACTGGGTCATTTATAAACAAAAGGAGTTTACCTGGTTCATGATCCTAGATGTAGTGAAGTTCACGATGAAGGGGTTGCATCTATTGAGGGGAGGGATGCCCAATAGAGCTTAACTGCCAAACTAATTTGCCATTTTTTTGAAAAATCAGTCTTGAGCTCCCCTCCAGAGCTTCCCCAGGGGCTGGGATATTAGCTACCTCACAAACATCTTTCCCTCTCCCTCCCTGCCACACTTCCCCTTCCTCCCTCCCTCCCTCCCCCCTCTTTCTCCTTCATAAACCCATACCATATCCTTAGTGGTGGTTGGTCGTTTCCATGTAATAGTTAAGTTAGGTAAACTGCCATAACAGGTAAGCCAAAATAAGTAATAACTCCAACATAGTAGGATTTTTTTTTTCACTCTCATAGGACAGTATAGGGGAATAATGGTGAGGCAGGAAAGAGGACATTGGGAATTAGTGGAGTTGGGGGACAGCCACCATTCAGGAACCCAAGCAAAAGGCAACTCTGTTGTCTTTATCACATGGTTTCCAAGAGTTTCTGGTCTTTATCATTTCAGAATGTTATAAGATGGTGGGACACACTACAGTGACACTCAGATAGTTGAAACACAGAGTTCTTTTTTATTTATAATCCCAAATGAGAAATGGCTGTCAGACAAGACCACACAGAGTACACCTGGGCACAGAGTGAAGAAGGTTGGACTGTAGGGGGTAACTTATGTATGGCAAGTGAGTTGGGATTAGCTGGGTCTCATGGGTTCTCTGCTCCTTATCTAATTTGAGTAATGTTGCAGGGCTCTAAGGCATAGGGGTTATTCTTAGTTGTCTAGTACCCAGCCCTGAGGTGATTAGGGCAAGTATACAATGATTTCATGTGAGAACCCCAAAAGAGAAATAGTTGAGGATATAGACTTGATAGACTATTTAAGAAGGGAACCTAACCAGCCTCTTCCCATTTTTTTTAGAAAACATCAGCCAATAGGAAAGGAGGATAGAGTATGGGCCTAAAGTGGCCCACATCTATTCTTTGTGTGTGTGTGTATGGTGGAGGGGGGCAGTAACCAGGGACTGAGCTCACATCTATTCTGCCCACATTCCATTGGCAGGATGAAGTCACATGGCTAATTAGTCACACCGTTGCAAAGGGAGCTGGGAAATGTAGTCCCAGAGACAACTGATCCAAGTATAGAAGGAAAGTTCAGATTTTAATGGGCAACTAGCAGGCCCCACCAAGAAGCTGTAAATTAATATGAACTCACATATTTCTTTGCTTCCCTGCATCCCTGGATTGCTTTCATATCTGTTTCACCTGCTTGCGTGGTAAGTTCCTTCAGGGCAAGGCCATGATGTTCTCTTGCTTTTGATTCTTTTCCCAGCAATTAATTCTGTATCCAGTGGGGTTCTTAATGGATAAGCTTCTCACTAAAATGAGCCTCAAGTTATTTCAATTTGCAAAGATAGCTGCCACTTCAGAGCCTGGCATAAATATCTGATCCTTGGGAAATAATTTCAGTTAGTTAAATTTAGATCTCTGGGGTGGTTGGGGGGAGAACAGCAACAGAAATATTATCTGGGCCTTTGGCTCTTTTATTTAATTCTGAAATGGATAAATATTTTTAATAAATTTAAGCTTTGGCCTTCTATAGAGCAATATTTCGTTTTTGGATGAAATCAAAAAGTGTTGCTAATGAGATGGTTTAACGTGGTCACCAGCTATGGTCAAATTTTCCGTTTCAGTTGACTATAAGGTAAAGGTAAGCCAGTGCTTTGAGACACGTACAGTAGTGAATTACACTTAAAATGATATTTTTCTGACCTTTTTCTTTTGTCTCATTTCCTATCACCTTGACTTTTCTCTTGGTTTCTTAAAGATTCCTACCCTTAAAACCATTTCCAACTTGGTAGACATTTTCTTTAGGAAGTCTAATACCTAATGACACTAGGGGAAAGGGTAACAAGAAAACAAACTTCAGCTAGGGGATCTCTTTACTCAACAATCATCCAGCATTTATGGAGTGCCTAAGAGATGCCAAATAAAATGCAAATGCATAAAATGCAAATAGACATTAAACCAGCCTTCAAGAAGCTCAGTTACAACCCACGTTTTTTATACATACAAATTTTTTATTCACTTAACCCATTCATTCATCAAATATG